TGTGGAAAAATAGATTGAGATGCAAAGTGACGAGAGCATAAACCGACTGTCTGGCTTGTGTATCCCGCCTACTCCGCCGGGGCTGGCCGCACGCCACCTGGCTTAGCCTGGCCTTGTCGCCGGACCGTCAGAGGGCCCACAACAATCGGGTGCGTGACGCAACGGCGCTGAAGGGAAAGGGGAGGGGGGCGAGGTGTTTTGTAAATTTCACTTTACGACGCTCCTATTCGTCCGATTTGAATGATTGTCACGGCGTTGGATTCATGATGCATGTCGCCGCTATAAGCCTACATTTTTTAATTTTTTCTCGAAAGTTTGAGAACTAATTTCAAATTTTTGCTAGGTTTTTGGAAAAGGGGCTTCGTAGCGTAAATTCTATTTTAAAAAGGCGTCAAATGCCGTTTACAGATCGAAAATCGGACCACTGGTTAAGACGTTATCGGTAAATTTTACTTATTTTGGTTCTGCCACGTGGTGGCTACAAATTGTACTAAACTGTACTTCTCTACGGGATTTGTCCTGAAATGTAACAGTTCTATAAAAAAATTATTTTATTTTTACAACCCTGGGGTTCAAAAATATTTTGGTACACTCTTTGCAAGTCAGAAAGCAGATTTTTAAGAAAACATTTCGTTGCCACACAGTACATTTTGTTGATATAGCACATTAGTAGTAGTACGTTGGTATAGTACATTTTCTTTGAAAACTTGTAGATAAAATAGAAGACTTCTTCCAGATTGTCAATAAATTGATATGTTTAATCTTTGTGAGTAACTTTTACTTATAGGCATTTGTTATATTTTTTACTGATTTGAAATGTCAATGCATCAACTTTTACTAAAGAGACATTTGAAATAGTTTATTGATTTCTGTATTCCCATAATTTTAGTAACCTGAAGATGTAACTACTCATGTTACGAAACGTCGTGTAATTGCTGACAACAGAGGATTTTCAAAACAAAACATTGTTCTTGGAATGATTGAGGAAGACGCGAAATGCCGAGAAAATTTCGTCGAGAAGTCTGAGTCTTAAGAGGTAGCTACATAAAAATCGCACTATAGGCAGCGAGATCGGGGGTCGTCCCGTCGGCATAGAGGAGAGATACAATCTCTCCTCTATATCTCCGCAGAGATACAATATATCTCTGCTCTAAGCCCGTCGGGTGTCGGGAGGACGTCGTCAATCTCGTCAAACAGCAAACAGTCCGGTCGGCTGTGCATCGACGTTCTGCTCGCAAACCAGTCAAAAGACGCACGCTTTGCGTTCAACTATCTTTCGTCATTATTTTGGTGTAGTTTGCGGAACTGGTCATTACTGTGCTGTTTTATTTTGCAAAGACCGATTTTCAAATGAATGTGGCCAAGAATTCTTTCTTATTAAACTTAATACCATATTCACAAAAACATACAAAACAGTCATAAAGTTTCTCAAGAACTCAAATGTTGCTGTGAATATAAGCTCGAAATTTCGCATTTACACAAACACTTAAATGCCATTTTCTCAAAAAACGGCTCCAATTTTTTCAATGAAAAATGCCATATGGGTCTATATTTTTTTAACTCTACTAAAATATTCGTGAAATCATATTTCGGTTCTACCATTACGGGACCAAAAAATTGAGAAAATGAGAAACTAGTGATGCTAAAACCACATACTTTCTCGACCCAAAGTAACGGTTACGTAAAAATATTATATGGTGCTGACAAAGCGCGCATGCAGCGATGGGCGCTGCCATCAATGGACACAGATTTTCTAATTAATTCTTCCTATTTTTGCCATAAATAGAATTGTTATCAGTTTACATTATTGTGGTTTTATGAATGTTCTTCTATTGTGGTCTTTGTGGAACACTGTTCATTGTTTCAAATACATTATTTTTCGACTTTTCACCAAAATATTCAAAGTTCATTCTTAACTGTATTATTTTCTTTTAAACGAAGACTTACAACCATACAAAAAACATAATTCGTCTCTTCATAATTTATTTTATTAAAATGTTATTGATGCTCCAGAGCGCTGTAAAGCAGAAAGCCCCCTAAACGTGTCATCTTCGCTGCCACGTTCGTTGTTTTATATTTTTTTTTTCTTGATAAAAAAATTATGAAATAGTAAATGAAAAAACTTTTTTTTTTAATCTGCACATTATACACACAAGCAAGATTTAATTTCACGAAAAAATGGAACACCCAGAAATAAATGCTGTTCAATATAAACTATTATGAATGTTATTATGAACGTCACTCTGAATGTTAACACTATTGCTTGTGTTACAACACATGTGAACATGAAATGATAGCTGCATTGACTTGAAAGGTTTCTGAGGAAACAAGAAACCACATCGAAAATCGAAAAACATAGAACATGTTGAAAAATCTTTGTAATGGAATCCAAACATATATGTTTTCAAGTGACGTGTTTCTGATTTCACCTATCCAATGATTGTCTCTAATTAAAATATACGAAAAACAAATAAATAGACAATAAACATTAAGTGATATAATAGCCCATTTTCATTTTGCATATTATAATTAAAAGAAAAGTTGGTAACACCACTTGTATCCATCCAGATATATTTTAGATATTATAATGGTATCTAGAGAGATATTAGAATAGCCCTGAGAAACGCTTCAATCAACAAGTATTCTAAATTAATCACCTGGATATTACTTCTGAAATTAATCAATTAATAAATAATTACCATCATAATAATTAAATCAACTCATAAATAATTAATCACCTGGTTATACTGTCACTTAGATTTATAGTTTCTAGGTGGTGTTGCTTGCACTCCACTATATAATATTATAATTTTATGATTGCCTAAATAACACAGCACTGTAAGAATTATTTGCCTCCAGCATGAAGGAATGACGAAAGTTATTATAGTCGGCAGACCGTCAACTTTGTGCTAATATATCAATACAGCGAGAATACTCATTGTAGAATTAAGTAAACTATAAGTGCGAGAAAGCAAAAATAAGAGTTAATACTGACATTTTCAATAAGAAATTATGATCAAAATTAAATTATTTTTCGTTACTCAATTTTCCTCGTAGCCCGCAGCTGGTGTGAAACATTTATTTCATTAATTTCAAGCAGTTATGCAAAACTACTCTTATTGTACATGACCTTTTTTGAAGACCTAATTGTGTACAAGACTGACTGAGGCAAAAATCTTTCTTCAATTTTGTAGTTTTAATACCTT